ATAAAAAATAATAAAAATAAAAATAAAAATAAAAATAAAAAATAAAATAAAAATAAAAATAATAAAAAAAATAAAAATAAATAAAAATAAAATAAAAAAACTAAAACGAGCCTTTCTGAGATTTGAAACATCCCCAAAACTGTGATCTCTGGTGGAACAGACGCAGGAGAGGAAGGCTTTACTCATTCATAGCCCTCCGGCCGCTATGTGAGCGGCGGTTTCTATGGCAACCTGCGTGGAGAGGGGGGACGAAACAAGAAAGAGACGCCAGGACAGGGAGGCATGCGGCACCACCGACAAAAGGTCTGCTTTTTCAGCCTCATGCACCAGAAAGCAGAGGCCTGGAGGACCGGACTGGAGGTCCTGGACCGGACCGGACCGGACCGGACCAGACTGGACCGGACCGGATTGTTACCTGGCTCAGCTTACTGTTCTCCCGGGCCAGCTGGTACCTGGGATCGTCGGTGGTTATGGTGAACCTATCCTTGGTCTTCTCATAGCTAGCTCTGTAGTGCCTCTGCTCAGAACGTCAGAAAAGCAGTCAAAAACAAAACAAACCCATTCCGCACCAGATATTTCTGCCCGGAAGGCTTTTTCGGGAGCAGAGGAAAGTTTATACACAAAGTTAAAACACAAAGTTTTACCGTTACACAGAAAGAAAACATTAAAAAAAACAGTCTGAACTATCTCAGTTTACCTCAGGGGGAGAGCATCCAAAAGGGAAGCATAGAGACACAAATGGTTGACATTTGCAGGTAAATTTGAACAAACTGGAGTTGATAAAATATTGCATTGAGGTGATAAATGAAAGACTCACATCGTTGATGAGAGTGGAGGCATTCTTTGCAGCCTGGAAGAACGGGCTATCGCACGTGTACTTGAAGTTTCCTCTGTTCTTCTCAAAGGAGGATTTGTACAGCCTCTGCAGGGAAACAGTCCAGATGTCACATCAGAGGCCCACAAAATGGATCCAGTCAAATCCACTCTATCTAAATAGCTCAGTTTAAACAAACAGAAGGTTTCCAAAATGGTTTCCTAAAAAATATAAGCACGCCAAATAGATAACGCAATAAAAACACAATAAAAGATGAGGCAGATAATATAAAGATAAAGGCACAAAAAATTGAATAAAAATAAAGAAAAACAAAATGAAATTAAATGAAATTAAACGAAATTAAATGAAATTAAATTAAATTAAATTAAATTAAATTAAATTAAATTAAATTAAATTAAATTAAATTAAATTAAATTAAATTAAATTAAATT